TCTATCTATCTATCTATCTATCTATCTATCTATCTATCTATCTATCTATCTATCTATCTATCTATCTATCTATCTATCTATCTATCTATCTATCTATCTATCTCTTTTACAACAGTTTAAGAAACACCTTTTTTCTCCCCCCTTAAAAGCAAAAAACTAACGTTACTTCTTATAAACCTAAATCAAGTATTTTTTTCTTACTTTACTTACTAAACAACAACTAAGTGAATTGGAAAAAAAACAACAACAAACACAAAACATCTTAAGATTTTCGTAAAACATACATAAATAATAACAAAAAATAAAAAAAGGATAAATGTTGCCTTGAACACAAACGAATAACATTACAAATAATCCTTTATGCTAAAAACCAGCTAACAACAAACACTTGAAATAACGAACCAACAACAATAAAAACACCAAATCCGTTTTCTCAATATGTTTTCGCTTCCTCAAAAACATTTTATTCATGAGTTTTTGTGTGTAATATTATGCTTAAAAAAATTTGTTTGTAATTTTTTTGACAAACAACCTTAAAAACACAATTTTTCAATTTGTAAAAAAAGGACCAAATTTTTAAGTACCAGAAAAGGGGGCATACATACATATGTATGTATGTGTAGGTAGATTTTTGTTTTGAAAGATGATTATGGAATTAAAAATTGATTTTTTGTAAAGAAATTTCTGGTTTAAGTACTTGTATAAAGGAAATTTTCAAGTGCTAATTTTTCTAAAGGATTTTCATTATTTTTGGAAGAAAATAATGACAAGTCATGTTTGGTATTAGTAACAAGAGGATTACAGGCGACATGGATGAGTAGAGCAAACAATTCAATTGACATTTTGTAGTATGGCGAGTAAAGGGATTTTTGGAAAATTATTAATTAATTTTTTTTCCAGAAATTTATATTTTAAAAGGAATTATATGTTCGAGATCTTATTATGACATTTTTTTCGTTAGGATATTGTTTCATTAGAAAACATTTTTGAAGTTAATGTAGAAGAATGAATAAATGTCTAAATTCATGAGAAGCCTTTAACACATTTGACGACAAAACAATTTCTACTTAATTAACATACAACTTAAATATTTATAGAGAATTTTAATCTGAAAATTAGCTCGTTTTCCTTAAATCATGAAGATAATAAGAAATACATATTTAAAACTAGTTCATACGCTTCACATGCTAATAAAGTCAAGGACACATTCCTTATTAGATACACAAATCTAAATTATACACATTTGTACACATACAGACATCATAAGTACATAGTATGTATGTATATGTATATGTGTATCCAAATACATTCTTTACATGTACATGTCATCTATCATTTTACCTTAGAGAACAACTAAAGAAAGTAATTAAAAGTTGTTTTTTTCTACTTTTGCTAAGAACATTTTTCACAAATAAACTTTTGAAATAAAGGACAGAAAAGAAATAAAAAGGAAAATGTACAGAAATAATGTCCTTATTTATGCCAAATACCTTTGTGGGTTTATTAAAAGACTATAACAACAGCAACAACAAAACTACATAAAAATAGTTGACATTATTGACAGCCTTGTTGTGTTGGCTTGTTTGTTTCCTTTTTGCCCTTTTTCTACTGTTTTCCTACTTATTCTTTAAGTTTGTCATTTGTTAATGTGCGTTATAGTTAAGTTAAATTGTCAATGAAAGTTTCCTTCCAACAACAATAACAACAACACCACCCACTGGTATATACACCTTTGTGCTGTTAAATAGACACTTACAATGAGATATTAACCTTAGTTTTATTCTAGGTCACTTTAAAGCTAGAAAATTTTAAAAGTTTTTTTTTTTTTTATTTTTTTCTAAGAAATCCCCTTGGTTTTTCTTTATTTGTTGAAATACAAACTTTGAAAAAGTTTAAAGGTTATTTTATACTGGTGGTGTGTAGGATATTAAAGTAAATTAAGGATTTAAGTCAAAATTCTGTCATTGGCAAGACATTCTTAGGCTTTTAGAAATATCTAGTAAGCAGTAAATATATAGTTTGAAGAACTATGAACAACCTCAATTTCCATGTCTTACTATATTCGGATGCTCATATATCCTCTTCTATTTCCTCAAAATTCTGAAGTCATCTGATTTCACAGAGAACTGAAATTCACCATAATTAAAGTACTTTTTTTGGGAAAGTTTGTATCAAGCTTATGGCAGCTTCTGTGGCAGCTTTTTGAGCCTTATCTTCTAGCTTATTTTCTTTAAAAGACATTTTCTTCATTAGATTAATATTGAATATATTTTAGTTTTATTTAATGCTACTAGTTTCACAGTTCAACCCATTAAATTAACTTAAAAAATAGTTTCTCTAGTTTTCTTCTTCTTTCTATAAACTCATATCCAATTGCAAATCCCAAATGTATCGTTTGAGACACTTTGCTAAAGGACAACATACACACATAAATGTTTATAGAAAGCAAATAAAAAACTACACAATCTCTTAATGTTTGAAAAAAAATGACTTCTTTCGA